GTGGGGTGGTGGGGTTGTGGGGTGGTGGGGTGGTGGGGTGGTTGGGTGGTTGGGTGGTTGGGTGGTGGTTGGGTGGTTCCCCCCCCCCCCCTGTGGGGGTGGGGTGGGTGGGTGGTGGGGTTGTGGGGTGGTGGGGTGGTTGGGTGGTGGGGTGGTTGGGTGGTTGGGTGTGGTTCGGAGTTGGTTTAGGCTTGGTGGGTTGGTTTAGGGTTGGTTCAGGGTTGGTTCAGGGTTGGTTTGCGGTGGGTTTCGGGTGGGTTTGGGTTTTGGGTTGATTTAGGCTTAGGGTTGGGGTTGAGGAGGGGTTGCAGGGTGGTTTGGTTTAGGGTAGGATGTTGAGAGGTGCGGGGGTGTTGGTTCACGGGGTGAAAGGGGGTCTGGGACCGAAGCTGCAGGGCTCGCACGGTACTGGACAGCATCCCCAGCATTGCCAGCATCATCCCCAAGATGCGGATGATGCGGGGGAATGGGGGGACCATACCATTTGGGGGGGGGGGGGGGTGTACGTGGCCCAGGGACTGGTACATATATACACCCCAAGTGTGCTTGTATACGCTGTATGGTGGTTGTGTACCCACGTCTTGCTCTTGGGTAGTGGTTTGTGGGTAGTCAGGTATTAGATTCCCGGCAGTTCTGCCGCCGGCGGGACTGCAGCTGAAGCACGCTTTCGGGCGTTGGCGAAGGAGCCTAGGACACAAGGCACGGACATGCAAGTTTTGCAACTCCCAAAGCTGAAGTAAAGGACCATGGCGGTTCGATCGCTTCTCCACCCAAAGAAAATCGGGTACGCTCTTCAAAAACACCTGAACTAAAAGTTGGATCCGTTTCCATTCTTTTGGCTTTGGTTAGCCTCCGCAAAATTGGAGCCACAAGTAAAGGACCATGGCGTTTCGATCGTTTTTTGCACCCCCAAAAAACGGGTACAATACCGAGCCTCCAAAATTGACAGACCCAAGGTCCCTTCCCTGCAATTGGCGGTTTGGAGCCCGGTCGTTTGGTAGGGCTGGTTTCCTTTTTGCCAGGGATTCAGATCCCGACTAATCCAAACCGATTGAGGGGAACCTGACTGAAACTGTGTCTGCAAAGAAAGAGACACCAAGTGATCCGTCTGAAGAGAATCATGGGCTATCCACTCAGCAATCTTGGTCGCGTGACATCCCCTGTCCCGGACTTGGATCACGTAGGGGCATTGTGAAATGCTGTCAGCGACTCAACCCTCCGAACTCGGTCTTTAAGGCGTTGGTCGCGGAGCTGTTGATTGTCCATCCTACATCTCAAATGGGCGCCGCTGATATGCCACCGGCGTGTTGTCTGAGTATGTTCCCACGGCAAGGCGCTTTCACCAAAGGGGAGTTTCTTGCCCCCTGAGCAGTGCAGTTCCTGAAGGCAAGGCCAACACCTTTGCCGGGCATTGTTCCCTGCGGGGTACAAGGGTGAGCAAAAATCAAAATGTTCGCAGTTCAGTGGTTGGATTTCAACCACTAAACCACAATAAGCAAAAATGGGAAAAATCTTTCCCAACAACAACCAGGGGCTCTGTCGGGTTTAGGGGAAGCCTTTGCCCCCTCCCCCTCCCCCCCGCACGGCTCGGGATCGATGCGAGGCCGAGCGGCGGCAGATGGCCAGGAGCTCTGGCAGCTGCAGCCGGATGGCGCAGTCCGCGGTGGGCTCGAAGGTCTCCGGCGTCAGCGCCTCACTCAGGCGGGTTTGCGCCCATCCGAGCAAGTCGACCCACCCAATTCGCCCACCAAAATCTTCCACTTGGTTCAGACCCCCGGATTTGTTTTTAAGAAAATATGTCCAGTAGTGATAAACTCCTTTTAAAACCAACAAGGGGAAATAAAACAGCGCCTTTTTTGGGGGGCCAAGGCCCAAGCTGCCGAGAACAAACAGGTCGAAACCTCGTTCCGAATTCGCCAAAAAGGACCCGCGGGCTTGGGGTGTAAGGCCCAAAAACCCCCGGAAGCCAAACGTTCCAAGTCCCAAATCCGGGGGAGAAAACAAAAAAAAAGGGTGTGGCGCCAAAAAGGCACAGAAAAAGGGCCATCCATGCCAAACCCTCTTGAGAAATGGTCTCCAAAATAGCCACACAAATCGGTTCGGCTAGCTTCCTGAATGGCGATTGTTTCTCGAGAAACCATTCCAAAAAAGCCAACACCCAGCAAACCTCGTTTGGACATGCGAACTTTCTAGAATTCCTTTCCTGGCCATGGTGCTTCTCTAGGAAACTCTGCCAAACAAAACACCTGCACAAAATTTGGACACGCAAACTTGCAGAGTTTCCGGGCGATGGTTTCTTAGAGAAACAGGAGTCATGGTTGTGGGACTAACACGAAACCCAAGATAGTGGGAATAGCACGAAATCCGTGATACCAAAGTGCATGACCACTTTGTCACTTCAGGGGATTCTCTGGGTATCGGAGAAGGTGGCAATCTAAAACCCAATTCTTCACAAGCATGGCCCAGTCGCCAATTCAAGGTCTGGGGAAAGCAAATGATTGGTCTTGACCATGGGTTCTTGAGCACTCAGCAATCCTGGTGGGCATTTTCCCGCCCAGAATACATTCTAGGTCCTCCAGTAGAGAGGATAGAATAAGGGTACCCTTTGTTCTGTAGTCTATTTCAGTAGGGGAACCCTCCCCCGCAAAAAGTTGGTACAACAGCACCTAGCTGACCTAGCTGACACTCACTTGCTTTCGCCTTCTCCGCCGCGGAGACCAAGATGTGCACCACCTTAGCCGACTCACCGGCATGGACATCCGATCGATGGATGATATCGGTGGGGAGTTGGTTTGTCACGGGTGGCATCCATTCCAACTGAAGCTTTTTTCTTGTCCATCCAGCGTCTCCAAGGAACAGGGTGCCCCCACCAGAACTCGGATCTGAGTTTCCTTTCTTCAAAGCAGACTTGTCGCCACTCTCGAAGCTTCCGAATCCTTTCGGCTTCAACCGCTTCACCCGTCTGTTGGGTCAAAATGTACTGGTCCCGAGAATCTCCCCCACTGCAAACGAGGCTTCCCTATCTGCTCCCTGGAAACTGCCCTCTGGCTGACTTGATTGATTCTTGTCCTTCCGGTGAGTAGCAACCGGAGATGAATGCCGCAAAACGCACCAAAAAGCAAATAATTAACCGCAGCTGCTCAAAAACAGCCAACACCATGCATGACAAAAAGAAGAACGCCGCACGTAAACAAAACAAGAAACCACTACTACACTCCCCCCCACTGGTTGGGAAACAAACCCCTGTGACACCACAAAGTGAGATTTGCACCTCGACTTTGGCCTAGGAAGTTTGCACAACCATCTGCATGACTACGTGAGAGCTTCTCAAAATGTACCTCTGCTCCTTGTGACCTTTGACTCGTTACGCCCATTCGATTCGTGAAAATGCTTGGATTTCTTCCAACCCCCCATTTGTTTCAAACCAACTTCGCATTAAAGTGGGAACACCTACCAAGATGGAACACTCTCCAAAGCCGCAGTGAACAAAACCACACCAGAATGGGATATGCTCTCACACCTCTCTGCCGGTTTGCAGAATTTCCGGCCTCTGAAATAAGAATTGGATCCCAAGAAGAGAACCTACATCATGGCCTTCCCTCGTACCCGGATCAGCGAGCTCGGCCTAAAAGGCGGAACATGTCCATGATTTGATGGGTGAGCCATATTTTTTGGAGTTGGTATCCCATGCTTGGTGGTTTTAAGGGAAACTAACAGGAAAACCGATGCGTCCCCAGAAGACAAACTCTTAGCTCCTTCCGGCAAAACTTGAGGAGATCCCTCCTTGTCTCTGGCCTAACCAGGACTGAACTCAGGCCTCACAGGGGCGTGTCAAAGTTGGGCTCTGATTTTGGAATTGCTCTCCAAATGAGTGTGGTTCCCTTTTGTTTTAAAGTTGCTAGCCTCGGTTGCTTTCTGCTCCCCTGCAAAAAGTGTTTAACTTTTGGTGGTTTAACTGGAACATCCAATTTCGTGGGCACAAAGCTTTCGAGTCCAAACATCCCCTGGCAACCTGCAGCAAAGAACATGCGCCCATTCGACCAGGGCGCATACTGCACCTGCCAGCGATGGGCCAGGCACATGGCCTGGTTGCCGGGTTGCCCCCCATCGAGCGGGATCCAAGCGGTGGTGACTCGGGTCGCCAACCTCCAACCCAAGGGCTCAGAACGTGAACTGAGCTGGGGCGTTACTTAAGAGTAGCTGGCTCAGGTTTAGCCCAACTGAAAAATAATCTTAAAATGAGGTCTCTTCCAAACATGAAGAGCGTTTTTGTTTTTTTGGAACCCACCAACTGTATTGGAATTCGAACTTCGATCTGGATGTGGCTGAAAATAAAAGAGCTAGGGTTACGCAGGTTTTACTCTTTGGTTCCATTTACCAGGGTGCCGTTTTGGTACATGTTGTCGACCCACAGCCATTTGGCCATGGCTCAGTGGAAACATGGACCAAAACCTGCGTACCCCCTCCTGTTTGATTTTGAGCCACAAAAGGCAAAATCAAACTTCAACCGAGATTCCAAGGTGAGACTTGGGGGGGACCTTTACGATCGCGCCTCCAGGACGACGGTGGACTGGGCGTCCAGGTCCAAAGGCAAACTACCTGACGTGGCGATTGGCAAGGCTTCTGTATCTCACCTGCCCCGTTTGGACCTGGAAATAACAACTCCACCTTTTGTTGACAACATATTCACTACAGCGGAAACACCAAAGGGTCAGATCCGGTCGCTTCGGCTTGGACAAGTGAGGTACTCTGAGCCCTGGGTTCCTTTCTTTTGATTCCTAGTGAGGCATCCCTCGGGGGAAGCCCGACCGTTTCTCCGTAGAACAAAACAACTGCGAGATGGTCAACTTGGCCTGAGGGGTGGGTCCCCTCCCTAAGTTCACACATCATTTGATCCATATTGCGAACTTGAGAACTTCAAAATCAAAGCCACATGTCTTTTTGGTGAATCCCATTTTGGTCTAAAGACAACCTCAAAGGCAATACATGTTTGGGGTCCCTGGACGCAGCCGCACAAGCCATTGGGTCAACAACTTGTGACATGTTTAAGCCATCTTGTAAGCGCTATTCGGGGTCGCCTTTTCGATCGGGGCCATGGCTTGCTTGTTGAAACCAGCGCAACAAATGCAACAATAATCCTGGCAGGGCCTATGAAGGACCGACAGCCACATTTCCGCTGGTTTGGAGCAACCCCAAGCATCCACTGGAAAACCTCACCCGAACTCTAACTGAATCGCTGAAGACCGAAACCAAACCTGACGACCAGCGCCGATTCTCTGGCTTCCACTTGGGCCCAAAAAAGCATGTCTGACTTTTGCTGAGTCTTTTTGGGTCTTCCCACCCCAAAAAATGTTCCTCGCTTGGACTTGGACTGATCGGAACCCTGAGGTTGCGAGACCAAACCGCCGGCGTTTTCTTTGTCTGTTTTCCGTGGGCATCCGGATGCCCCCCCCCCATGATTCAGAGGTGTGAACTTCATCCGGCCTTATTTTTCAAAAGAACATTCTATTTGCGAAAAAGTCCCCTAAAACAAGTCGCCCAGCGATAGATGATTCTGAAACACAACAGGGGAACATAATAAGCCCAGCTACGCCCCTGGCACTCTCCGGAACCCTCTCTGAAAGCTGCCCCGAACCCCTCCAGAGCTTATCTGGGCAAAAACCCAGCGTTCAGCTTTTGGAGAAGCACATCAGGGATCCTTACATTATACACCTGAACATTGCAACTTGTAAATGGTGGTTTCCAACTCTATTTGGTGGACAAAGCCATGTTTCAAAGAGGAAAATGTATCTTCTAAGGAGCCCTGCACATACTCAAGCAAATGGAAGCAACGAGTTCGCCTGTGTACATGAGCGAGAGAAGCACTTTGGCAGCTGCTAGGCTCACATTCTCCACGGACACTCGGCCGCTGGCTTCCTGCATGCATCCTGGCGAGGAAGGTGAGCAGGCTTTTCAGCGCCTTCTCACATTGGTCTCAAAAAGGGGAACCCCCCAAAATGTTTCTGTTTTGGTGCCTCTGCTTTTTATTTTATTTTAAAGGGGGGGGTCTCAAAAGAAGTTTATGTTGGTCTTGCCTTTTTTTGAGGGGGTGTTGTTTAGGGATAAGGCTCAGGTTTCCTCCTGGTTTCCATTGAAACAAGCAACACGGGCCGCCCTGAAAACGACACTCTCTCTCTCACAAACACACGTCAAAGCTAGGCATCCTGGTGTGGTTTAAAAGAGGAAAGCAAAGAGAAACCAGCCAGACCTGAGGTCTACCGGCTTTGCTTCCTCAGTTCCTGACTTTTTGGGTTTGGACCATTTGAGTCAGCAAGTCAGGTTTGGCAAACCAAAAAGTTTGGTCACTTGTTTTGGCCAATCTTCACAAGAAGTCAGAAACCAACTACCAACAACAGTGCCGGAATTTCTGCCAATGGGGGTCTGGGTTCCAACCGCTTTCCGGATTTTCATGTTCCGGGCTTCCACAAATGATCTTGGTATTCCTCGGGCCTTTGTCTCCAAATCAACTGCTGCTTCCTTTCCAGGTCCGCATTGAAGTCTGCCCCTGTGTTCTTGCTTGCCGAAAGCCAGCCGTTTTACTTTATGGTTTCCAAGTTTGGCAACCATATTAGACCATACTTCGTCCTTGGGTCCCAAAGGGTCAAGCTTCAAATTCTGGGCCGTCAATCCAGGGTCAACGTTTGGAGGGCCCCCATCCTATTGCCCCTTTTAAGAGGCAGTTCTGGAGCAGGATGCTTGTGACCAAGCTCCCCTGTGGCAGTAAAATACGACATCTTTGACTCACAGGCCTCTGGCAGTCAACACCCGGAAGGCTCGCGAGGTGCGCAGAAACTGTTTTGTGAAAGAACGAGGCCGGAATTCAGGTCCAGTGATCCCAAGAAATACATCCATGCATATAGACATATATACATGTGTCTCTTTGTATAGATGTACACGTGTATATATACACACGTGTATACATGTAAAAACATGTGTATATATATAACTATGTATATATATATATACAATTATATTAATGTGTATTTTTATATATTGTCATATCGCTCAACATCATGGCATGACGATACTCTACTGTAAAACAGCTTCGAACCACAATAGTTGATACACTCTAGGGATCTGTCCCTTGGTTCTCGAGACCTCAACGGTTCCTTTTGTACATCTTTTTTGAACCATCCAAGGGGTGCCAATTTTTATGCGTCTCTGTTTAAGGACCTCCCAAAATGGTGGTTATCCATTTGGTGTTCTGTTGAAACCACAAATACAAGGGGTTACCTGCTCAAAAAAGGCACGCCCAACGACATATGTTGACATTTCACATAAAACAAAATAGACACACGCACACACACACACAAACACAAACACAAACACAAACACAAACACAAACACAAACACACACACACACACACACACACACACACACACACACACACACACACACACACACACACACACACACACACACACACACACACACACACACACACACACACACACACACACACACACACACACACACACACACACACACACACACACACACACACACACACACACACACACACACACACACACACACACACACACACACACACACACACACACACACACACACACACACACACACACACACACACACACACACACACACACACACACACACACACACACACACACACACACACACACACCCTATTCGGCAGGGGATCTCAGGTTGAAGTTGAGTTCACCAGGGCCAATTTGTCTGGCAAAAAACATGTTGCCCCACTAGTTTGTTCCTTCTTTCATTCTTTCCAAGGAGCCTCTTTCCCGAAAACCGGGCAAAAATAACACAGCAAGGCCGGTGGTCTAACGACCCCTAAAATGGTTGAAAAAGGAGACCTGACCCCAAGGAATGGTTTCCCAGTTGAACAATGGACATTGAAACGCCTCTCCAAACATATCAAACCACAAAAACCCAACAAACCACAAGCAGGAAGAAAACCACAACCAATCAAGAGGACACATGAAAAGCGACAGAGAAGGCAACACGTCACCAAACCACGTCTCGCACGTCTGGCCCAAACGTCTCGGCGGCTTCCTGAGAGCATGGCATTCAAGACCGGCGAGGCCGCCCGCAGCACAACGCTGTGCGCGTTCAGCTCGGAGACCTCCCCTGGCGCGCTCAGCTCGGAAAACTCTCCATTCGGCTTTCAGGGCCAAGGACTTGAGGCCCTCTTCCCGATCGAAGCAAAAGACACCCGGGATCCGGATGCATGAAAAACACCGATCGAACATTGCAACTTGTAAATGGTGGTTTCCATTTCTTTATTTTGGCGTTTCAAATGGTTGCAAAATGCATCTTTGGAGGAGCCCTGAGAAACCGCCCGGGTTTTTTGCCATAACGTTGCCCCAGGATTGAGCTCAATCCGTCCTAGCAGGGGGTCGGAGTCCAAAATGTTGATTGAAACCCCATCTAGGTCTTCCAATGTCCTCCAGTAGAGAGGTCAGAATAAGGGTACCCACTTTTCTCTGTCTATTTTAGGGGGTTCCCCCTCCCAACCAAAGAAGTTGGTAGAGAACGACTCGCTGGACCTAGGAAACCCCATGCGACCTCTCGGACGCGCCCGGATACGCCCGGCCTGTGGAGCCGGAGATGCAAATCCGCAAGTCCGCAGTGGAGGAGTCCGCCAGCAGTCTGGCCCACATTTCCTCGCGGGGATTGTGTCCGCAGGTCCCAAAACAACTTGGGTAGATCCCCGGAAAAGGAAATATGAGGGGAATCCCTACCATAGGTGGCCTTTTGGAAAAATCGATGGGGTTCCTTGGTAAATGGGGCATAAACCCCATCAAAACCAGTGAAACCCATCTATTTTTAGCCAAACTAACCTAAACAGGACACCTATATTCGCCAAGTTAGGTGGTTAGCCACCTGGGATATAACGGCTAAGCCCACTTGAGGAGGCTTAGACATGGATCCTGAAGGGCCATAGGAGAAAGTGATCTTCCCAGACCCCTGTTCAGGTTACTCATGTTGGAATCTGCAAGGGCACACCAAACAAATGATATTCATTCATGTTACTTCATGCTCAATGTTCACCAACGGGTATCGCTTTATTTCACTCCGAGAAGGCAAGGATCGCTTCTGTTATTCCGGTGGCGATCTGAGATGTTTGGCCTGAGGCTCTATGTCCGAAAAACAAAGGTCCGCCGGGGAAAAAGGGAAGACATGGGACTTGCGGTTTGCTTGACGGAACCATGCACGTGATTCGGCCGTGGGATAAACTCCATTTAGCAGATTTAGCAGAGAAAGCACCAGCCACAGACACAGCACGACTCGTGGACATGAGATTTTGGTGATTCGCTTTTAGCTAGTGTTTCCCTCTAATTTTGCGCTTTCTTTGAGCCTCTGAGCCGCTCAAGACATGTCGACTGCTTCCCACAACCATGGACAATTAGAAAGCAAAACCAAAGAACCCGCGCAACCACACACCTGAAAAACACCTGTGGTAAAGGGCAAACACACAAGTTGGCCACTCTTACCCACGCAGTTCCTCAGAAACTAGTGACACCTAAAAGTCCGAACCGGAACTCAGGAAGCAAAAAAGCTGGTCGCCCCCCAAAAATATGATGGGTTTATTGTTTTACCACTCAAAAAATGGCTAAAGGAAGTCAGGCGGGAACCATTTTCTCTTCGTCTCAACGCACAAATCCCCGTTTCGCTTCGTTTCCCGCGCTCCGCGCCGCTGGCGTCTCGTCCGAGGCGCTAGGAGCTCCTCGGGCACCGTGGCCTTGGGGCTCTCGAGCCGCTGGTCTGAGGAGAAGAGCGTCACCAGGGCCTTGCCGTGGACGAGACGTGGAGGACCGAACAGGCCAGATCTGCAATACAAATTGGGCTTCCTCATCTTCCCCAGTGTGGCTTTTTTTTGCCCCTTAGAAAAGAAACAGGTTCTTTCTTGGAGGGGCGGTTTTTCAGGCCAGGGGCGGAAATTGCACTTTCCCCGCTCTGGCAGCATTTGGGCACAGAAAGCGTGCCTCTGAGTGTGGCATAAACCGACCTGGGCACATCCCGCATTTGAGGCGCGCCCTCCCGCGCCAATCGCATCAGTTGAGGTGCAAAACAGGCATGCGCCTCGCCTGTGACCTGGAGCCGCTTTTCTCGAATGTTCTTTTTGGCCCGCAGAAAATGGACCTTTGGAATTGCAGCCATGACGTGGTGAACATAGCGAAGGCTGAAGGCTCAGCCGGGAATATTGAAGGATCTTTGTGTTGGTTGCCCTTCTGGGAGACCTCCCAACGGTTGCTTTTTTGGGCATGTGACTTCAAAGGACTGCGGGCAGGCAAGGTTCACTCATGCCCCAAATACGGTTTGGCCCACTGCTTTGTATGCGGCGGCCGTGTCAACAACGAGCAGATCAGGGATATTGCCACAAACCATCGAAAGCAAGAGCTAATCAAATCGCTGCACCTTTACCTAAGCGACAGTGGTGCTTGAAACAGCAAGGGCCTCAATTTCTGATTATCGAAACGCCTTGCGGCCAAAGCCTTCAATGCTGTTAGCTAGGGTTGAGTTTGCAATGCTCACCTTGGATCCGAGACCAGGCCCAAGCTCGAACCGATTGCTTCGGCACCTTTTGCCGCGCTAGGCAAAATCTGAAGCTGGCCTGCTGCCACCGGCAGCAGGGATTGCTCTGAGGTCATGGACAGTAGAAAACGCACCGCTGCCGTGGCTTTGGCGCTCGTGCGAAAGTTTGACATTCCTCGGCAGGAACCCCCGAGCTCACTAACATAAGTCGATCCAATGTGACTACAAGAACCCCTGGATTTACGGAATGCCGCATCAAAGCCGTTATACATTTTCCACAAGTTACGTGCTTGTACACGTCTGTCTGCCATGGAACCCAAAAGGCAATCAAGACAGCCAAAAGGAGTTCCTCTAAGAGTGTTTGGGGTCCATGTTGCCCCTCTTTAGGTCGGGTTAGTTCAACACAAATGTTAATCAGCTAGGTTCGATTCGACTTTCTTGTTTCATTTCATGAAACCTTGCCATTTGCATACGCGAGTTTCATAAACAACCTGAAATGCGCGCAGCGCATTTCATGAAATTTCAACTCTGTGACATTTCTTCGGTCTCAAGAGTTCGAGGTATTCAAGGTGGTACCCGGGCTGCCCTCGACAAGGGTCGGCGAGGAAAAGGTCATCGACAAAAGCGGCTCCATCTTTTCTTGAGCCCTGGCCCGGGAAGACCCGGCCGGCCAAAACCGCCCCGGGACCGGCAAAAACCGCCCCGAGACTGGCCAAAACCGCCCCGGGACTGTGAAACTGTCTTGACTGTGAAAGAGCGTTTCATGAATTGAGGGCACATGCTGCTTTATGAACCCTGCCACATTCATGAGTCCACAGTTCAAGAGTCGATCCACGGACCAAGTTTCATGAGTTTTTGCGGATTGGATTTATGAAATGACGCTTTCCAGGCCGGAATTGTCAAAATCTCCGGGGCGGTTTCGGCCGGTCCCGGGGCGGTTTTTGCCGGTCCCGGGGCGGTTTTGGCCGGCCGGGTCTTCCGAGGCCAGGGCTCAAGAAAAGATGGAGCCGCGTTTGTCGATGACCTTTTCCTCGCCGACTCTTGTCGAGGGCAGCCCGGTTACGACCTTGAACTAGAAGACCGAAGAAGTGTCGCAGAGTTGCAAAATTTCATGAAATGCGCTGCGCACATTTCAGGGTTTTATGAAACTCGCGTATGCGCATGGCAGGTTTCATGAAATGAAACAAGAAAGTCGAATCGAACCTAGCTGATTAACATTTGTGTTGAACTAACCCGACCTAAAGAGGGGAAACACGGACCCCAAACACTCTTAGAGGAACTCCTTTTGGCTGTCTTGATTGCCTGCTGGGTTCCATGGCAGACAGACGTGTACAGGCACGTAACTCGTGGAAAATGTATAGCGGCTTTGATGCGGCATTCCGTAAATCCAGGGGTTCTTGTAGTCACATTGGATCGACTTATGTTAGTGAGCTCGGGGGTTCCTGCCGAGGAATGTCAAACTTTCGCACGAGCGCCAAAGCCACGGCAGCGGTGCGTTTTCTACTGTCCATGACCGGGTCAGAGCAATCCCTGCTGCCGGTGGCAGCAGGCCAGCTTCAGATGTTGCCTAGCGCGGCAAAAGGTGCCGAAGCAATCGGTTCGAGCTTGGGCCTGGTCTCGGATCCAAGGTGAGCATTGCAAACTCAACCCTAGCTAACAGCATTGAAGGCTTGGCCGCAAGGCGTTTCGATAATCAGCTGTTACAAGCACCACTGTGTGCAGCGATTTGATCAGCTCTTGCTTTCGATGGTTTGTTGCAATTTCCCTGATCTGCTCGTTGTTGAGGGCAAGGCCTCCGCATACAAAGCAGTGGGCCAAACCGTTCTTGGGGCATGAGTGAACCTTGCCTGCCCTGCGCAGTCCTTTGAAGTCACATGCCCAAAAAAGCAACCGTTGGGAGGTCTCCCAGAAGGGCAACCAACACAAAGATCCTTCAATATTCCCGGCTGAGCCTTCAGCCTTCGCTATGTTCACCACGTCATGGCTGCAATTCCAAAAGTCCATTTTCTGCGGGCCAAAAAGAACATTCGAGAAAAGCGGCTCCAGGTCACAGGAGGCGCATGCCTGTTTTGCACCTCAACTGATGCGATTGGCGCGGGAGGGCGCGCCTAAATGCGGGATGTGCCCAGGTCGGTTTATGCCACACTCAGAGGCACGCTTTCTGTGCCCAAATGCTGCCAGAGCGGGCAAAGTGCAATTTCCGCCCCTGGCCTGAAAAACCGCCCCTCCAAGAAAGAACCTGTTTTTTTTCTAAGGGCAAAAAAGCACACTGGTGAAGATGCAGGTAATGACCTTTGAAATCTTTACAGGAGGACTCTGTTGTTTAAATGTGGTTCGTGTTGGGCTCAACTTAGCTCATTTGTAACCATGATGTCCGCTGTGCGCGGCTGCATAAGAGAGCTCGACGGGTCGGAGCCGAACGCAAGGGGCAGTTTTTTTGGTCCGGGGCTGTTTTTTTATTTTGGGGTCAAAAACTTTGAGCCCTAAGCCCCGGGGCGAAAATTCGGCGCCCCCGGAAGATCTCGAATTCACCCAAAAATATAGGTTTCCCTGAATGGGGGTCATGGACGCCAGGTATGGGAATCAGGGATACTTTTGTATGAGTTCGTGAAATAGCGGGTGATTGTTTCTTTCTAAACGGGTTCAACGGGCTCTCGATCCAGTTTCGGCTGATGTGCTGAACCACGAAAACGGGTCTCCCTTTTGGCAATTGGCCGAGTCATCAGAAACTGACGGGTTTGTCTCATGAGGCCTCGAACTTCTTGGTTTCCCTTTTCTTAAGAACTGGCCCGAAGGGTAGCCTCAGAACGAGATACCCCCGCGAGTGGAAAAGGAAAGCCGTCCACAGACTCCGGACATTTCGACCAACAATGAGGGATCGACAAGCACAAGTTGGAAGCGCCAGAAACACGTTGCCACAACGCCCCCGCAGAAAAATTGCCCTTGCCAGAAATGCTCCAACAGGGCCCCCAGAAATCATGGGCTTCCAAATGGCTCGCCTGAAAAGGCCACCCCGCATTTCCCCCAAAAAGCGAGCACCGATTTTCCCAGTGCAATATTTCCCATGGCGCAGATTATCGGATTCCCAGAAGGGTGTGCCTTTTTTGCCCCCCCCCCCCCCGAAATGGTGGTTTTCCTGTAAAACCACACAAAAGGGTACCGTAGACCCAATTCTGATTTTGAGCGACGGCCTTGTGCTTGCAGAACTCTTGGTAGCTCTGAACTCCTTTCCAACCACCAGGTAAATGCCCTGTCTCCCATGGCCTCATCCACTTCCGCTCCTCCCCTAAAAACAAGACATATCTTTGGAGAGCCCAACAAGTACTCCCTGCTAGACTTTCAGTTGGCCAAAGGAGCCACAAATACAAGGTTTTCACCTTTTGGAACCAAAAGACTACATCGAACCAGGAAAATAAATTTAACCAGGAAAAAAAAGCAACGATCAAAAGATCGATTCGCTTTGGGCAACGTTAAGTAAGTTACTTCATAACCAGCTAAGTACTTAAGCAACGGGCAGCGGGACAATTTCGGAGGCGCCTTACAGGGCTCCTGATATGTCCCCTTAAAACATCACCCTCCACCAAGGAACACTCACCTTTTATGGGCCAAAAAGGGGAGGCCTTCATAACCGCCAAAATGGGGAAAACATAGGGAGCGATGCGCCTTATCCACATCCTGGATCTTCTTATGCACCGCGGCTTTGGGCGTGGTGCTTTCAGACTTCAGCAGCGCCCGCTTTACCGCCAGCAAGGTCTCCACGCCGCTTTTGCCCGCTGGGATGACATCCTGCCCGTCTTTTTGTGTGGGTCTGTGCCTCTGTGTTTTAGGGCACCCTCCATTTGCTCAAGAACCCTGCAAAAAATAAACTATTTCCAGGCAGTGATACATTCCTTTTAAAATCAACAGGGGAAAAATATTCTAAAGCGAATGAAAGGCACCCTTTTTGCATTTTGAGGTGTCATGCCAGCCTTTGCTCACAGGGTTTCTCATATGTCCCCAAACTCACCTCTGGGCCAAATTGGCTGTTCAAAACCGCCAAGGAGGGAAAGCCACGCAAACCCACCCCTGGCTCCCCTGGTTTCTAAGACCTCCATTTGGTGAAGGCCCCTGGAAAAAATAAACATATTTCCAGTAGTGTTATATTCCATTTGAAACCAACAAGGGAAAATAAAACATATTCTTAAGCAAATGGAAGAAGAAATTCGCGGGCCTCGGTCCACTCGTCTTTCTCGAACCATCGCCAGCTCAGGCACCGAATGCAACTCTCCGGCGCCACAATGTCTGGCGAGGCGCCGTTCCTGAGCGATTTCGAGCGTACCCGGTTTGCTCAAGTCCCCTACCAAGATCAGCACATATTTCAAGCCAACAAAGGAAAGTAAACACATAGCCTCAAGCAGATGGAAGGTATGTGCCCTGGATGGCCCCGGTAAAATACCCTATTTATGACAGTACATGTTAGGGCATGTCCATTTGAGCGACCAACCACCCGATATTTGTCAGTCGTAAAGTCCATTCAAGGACGAGGAAATGAACGAGAGCACCCTCTTAGCAGTTGATCTTAAGGCGTCCGAAAATCAAGTTTATGGAATCTTTGAAGGCGGGAGTGGTCCGGGTTGCCTAAGGCTTCCTAAGGAACCCCAGCGCTCTCAACTGCCCACAACCCCTTTTACCTACCCTTGTTATGGATTCCAAAAAAGTTTCAAAAAGGCACATCTGTTGCTAGAGGATTCGACAGGGAACCCTCTTTAAACGAGAGAATGACCTGACCTTTCCCCGAGACCTTCAGTGGATTTTCATGGGGCAAAGGGGCACTTGCTTGGGTGGTTGAGTTATGTTGGGTTTGCAGGGAAGTTCCAAACAAAAAGGAAGCGAAGGAAACCACCCTCAGGATTGAACCCTGAACCTCCGCGAACCCCAAAATAATACTAATACTAATAATAAATAATAATAATAATAATAATAATAATAGTAATAATAATACTAATACTAATAATACTAATACTAATACTAATACTAATAATAATAATAATAATAATAATAATAATAATAATAATAATAATAATAATAATAATAAATAATAATAAATAATAATAATAATAATAATAATAATAATAATAATAATAATAATAATAATAATAATAATAATAATAATAATAATAATAATAATAATATATAATAATAATACTAATAATAATAATGCTAATAACAATAATAATACTACTACTAATAATAATAATATTAATTATTATAATATATGTATATATATGATACGATAAACATAAACAATCAGAGCAAGGAACATACAGAAAGGACAGAAGAAGACAAACAAAGGGTCTGGAGGCCTATTTTGACCTTAAGGGCAACCCTCCGAAACACGCAGCCAGAACAAGCGAGGGCCCCAAACGCGCAACAGCATTTCAGCCGAGCGGCTCGAGGGAGAACTTCAGCAAGTTCAGGCGCTGCTTGGTGCTGACTGGGGCATCGGATAACAGTTTCGCCTTTGATCGCTTCTCAAAATACGTGTTTTTCTTTGAGAGGGGGACCTGAGAAATGAGCTTTGCAAAAGGAATCCAATAATCAAGGGCCCCTTTCTGCTTGCTTGCTTAGTTTGTTGTGTGTTGTGTGTTGTTTGCGGTTGCTACTTGTTTGTTGTTTGTTTCTTGTTTGTTGGTTTGGTTTGTGGGTTGTCGTTTGTGGGTTGTCGTTTGTGTTTGTGGTTGTGTGTTGCGTGTTGTGTTGCGTGTTGTGTTGCGTGTTGTGTCGCGTGTTGTGTTGCGTGTTGTGTGATGAATGTTGTGTGCTGTGTGCTGTGTGCTGTGTGCTGTGTGCTGTGTGCTGTGTGCTGTGTGCTGTGTGCTGTGTGCTGTGTGCTGCGTGTTGTTGTTGTTTTGTTGTTGTTGTTGTTGTTGTTGTTGTTGTTGTTGTTGTTGTTGTTGTTGTTGTTGTTGTTGTTGTTGTTGTTGTTGCTGCTGCTGTTGTTGTTGTTGTTGTTGCTGTTGCTGTTGTTGCTGTTGTTGCTGTTGCTGTTGCTGTTGTTGTTGCTGTTGCTGTTGCTGTTGCTGTTGCTGTTGCTGTTGCTGTTGTTGCTGTTGTTGCTGTTGCTGTGTGTGTTGTTGTTGTTGTTGTTGTTGTTGTTGTTGTTGTTGTTGTTGTTGTTGTTGTTGTTGTTGTTGTTGTTGTTGTTGTTGTTGTTGTTGTTGTTGTTGTTGTTGTTGTTGTTGTTGTTGTTGTTGTTGTTGTTGTTGTTGTGGTTGTGGTTGCCGTTGCCGTTGTCGTTGTTCCCCAAGCACGTTGGGTACAACCGGGGGTAGGTCGCTGAGTCTTGGGAACCAACCAATGAGCAAAGCCAAGGCCCCAAGGGTTTCTAAGATGGAAAGCTTGTTCCCTGGGCCTCCACGTGCGAATGGTTTGGTCAGGAGTCATCACTTTTAGAAGGGAACACCCCGCTATTGATAAAACTGGAGTTGATTCAATGTGGGGTGAACATTACAAAGAACACCAACTCCTTTCGTAAGCCAAGGATCTTCTGGACCAATCCCCGGGTTCTTATCGACCCTCGCGAACGCCTCTCGCCCTCTCGCGGCGATCCGTTTCGGGGCAACTCGCGACGAACGAAGGCCTTCGGTGGCCAGCACGATGTCGGAGTAGTGGTAGATATCCTGGCGCTGCTGAGGGGCGAACCAAAAGGGTCTCTTGCTCCGCGCTTGACGTGTGTTTCTTTTCGGTTTCCCTTTAGAAAGCCGCAGACGAGGAGACCCTCTGACTCAAAACAAAGCAGAAAGCAAACTCCTTTTTGCGTTGGTTTCCAGTAAACCACTCAAAAGGGTCATTCCGGCCGCAAAGCGCCAACGCGGGAGTTTGGGGCTGCGGCATCAAAGTGCTTCCAGTGGGGTTGACGGTCGTGAGCAATCGGATGGACTGTGAGTCCCGAGTCCAGGAAACCTTCCGATGGCAGAGGTGCCTGGATCGCCAGTTGCTGTTTTGTTCCATGCACTTTACCCCAAAAACCAGCAACAGAGACTGAAAGAAGCAGCAACTTGGCTGTCTAGGTGGACGAAATCCCCCTATAGGCACCACCGTTCAGCAACCCTGGAATGCCCGTAAATCCCAACAAGCAATGGTTTGCCTTGGTTTCCAAGTGCAGGATTTCGTCCATCCATAGTATGGAGATTGTATGTCACTTCGGCCACACATTGACTGCGGTTCGCACAAGCGGAAATGGAAGAAGTCCGGATTTGGGCCAATGCACGCTGATGCATAAGAACACACATGGGCAAGTGATCAATCGTGTAAAGCTTTGCTCCCATGTGAGATAGAACCCTTTCTTTAAAGCAGACTTGACGTGTCACATCCAAACACGGAGTCGAACCACTCTTGTCATGCACGGTCCCATGCTCCCCGTCAGTCCTAGCAGCACCCTCTCTGACAAGAACTTGCTAGTGGCACTCACACACAAACACAAAAATTAAGCAACCTGGCAGAAACAAACAAACACACCGAACCAAACACCAACTGAACAAGCACAAAGGCAAACACACGTCGCAAACACAACGCCCCAACCATCAAACCACAACGCAGCAGTCAACTCAGTTGGCCCTTTAGGGACTCGAAATAGAAGGTGCCAACCTTTTAGTAAACGCAACCAAAAGGTCAGATTCCGTCGATTTGCCTTGGACTGAATCAAATGCTTAAGTCCCCGGAACCCATAAACGTATTTCCAACCCTGATTCCCTTTGAACACCAACCGGGAAAATCACAAAGACTCCGAAGCGCCAAGCGAAAGCAACACAGCTACACCGTTGCAAAACCGCTGCTTTCCGCTTCGTTCCGTTTCGTTTGGGCTGGAGCCCTCGCTGGCGTCTGCCTCCCGCCTCCTCCGCGGACTCCTGGCCATCGTCGATGCGGCCGAAGAGGATGGCGTGCACCGCGGAGCCGAAGTGGGGGTGCGTGGACTGGCGGTCTCGCTGGCGAGCGCGTGCGAGCTCGAGCGAGCGAGCCGTGGAACCAGGTGGGTGGGATTTCTTTCTTGGAGGGGGTGATATCTTGTGCCTTTTTATGGGGTTGGTTGAAGGGGAAACCAAAGGTAAAACCGTTCGGGGTAGCCTTTTTGGGATTGGTTCAAAGAGAAACCCAAGGAGAAAGCACGAAATCCGATTTTTCGGGGAGGATCCCCGAGTTTACGACACGCCCATGTGGCTGTTTCGGGTGTCTTGGGTGACTTGGTGCCTTGTGGGACGAAGGCTCCGAGAAATCGCGCCGGAGGCCTGGCTTGTTGTTTCCAGGTTCCCTGCAAGTTCCCTCAGTTTTTTGCAGGGGCCATGCCCCCACACCCAATGGCGGTTTTCCCTGTTGGTTTCCCTTTCAAACCACAAGCAAAGTGGTTTTTATGCGGGTCTCCTTGCAGCCCTATGTCTAAAAGGAGCTCCAATCGACTCCTAAAGCTCTCCCTAGGCAAATTTGGTTCCAACCAGCCAGCTTCTCTAGGTGTGAATTTAATAAGGGGCCCTCTGGTGGACATCATTTAGGGATTTATGTCCACCAACCAATTGCGAAAAGGTTCCCCATTAAAAGTTTCATCGCCTGAGAGTGTATTCATAGCCCCAGGTTTCTGGGCGCTCCAAGGGCGGCCCAGTAAAAATCCGCACGCATCTGGGTTGCCCGTGAACATCTCTATTCACTGGTGAAGTGCCTGTTTCCGTATCCCTGCAACCGTTGTGGAAAACCACCCTGGTGATACCAAAGAAGACCAGCCCCATAACGACTTTACTACTTTAAAGAGGGTTTGTGTCAGACTGGGTCCTCTGCAAGTTTTCCATAGCCATGTTGAAGGGTTTGGGTTCCCATCTTCACGCCAAATCACCTTACCCCTTGGTTTGGTTTCGTGGTTTAGAAGTGCGGAGTATTCCCATTTGGCTTGAACAGAAACTGCTTCTGGGTCCAAATCATCACTTGATTACTTGACCAACTGAAGAAACAACTGGGGATTCGGATGACGCTCAAAGACAACTCCTCCTGGAGGCTTCTCAACTCAGGGGTCACTGGATTTCCCCTTCACAAGTTTCAATTCACCAGTGGTTTCCATGCAAAACAAGAGGACACCGAGGAACACCTTTGCATTGACAAAGATATGGTCTAGGGCTTGGCGATTCAACCCCCTTGAGTCAAGATATTCAAGCGACTCTTTGAAGGGGTGCCACTTTTGGCTTACGGGGCCCAAGCAGTTGAGGGCCCCAGCCTTTCATTGGGGGCTTAGGCCGGCTGAGCTGGGGGGAGGTCCAGCAGCTCTTCAGGTGGATATGAAGCCAAGTCTAGGCTTAGGACCGCAGTAAAAAACATATCTTTGTTGCCTGGTTAGTGCAAAACAAAGGGACCCCCAAAAAGCAGCAAGACAAAAAGGAGAGCTAATTCTGGGGAAGAAATGTGGCGGTTTCATTTCCCGCGCCACGTGGGCAGTACTTCCTTTGTGCCCATTGTCTGCCTTGACTTTGTGGCAAGGTAATTCATAGCAAGCTTTCAATTCCCTAATCAGCCCGGCAAAAAGGGAACCCGTTTTGGGACGATTGTTGGTGGAGGGGAACACCAAAAAAGGAAACAGGGTGCAACGGCGTAACCGGTAGCTCCAGGTCGCGTCCACCAGCATGATGGGAGATTCGCTTTTTTGCGGGAACCGCCTGTCTTGATTCTCAATTAAAGGGAAACTAAAAGGAAGTCCGAAATCCATGTGGGGGGTCCCCTGAAAAAGGACACACCCATATAGTGCCGCGGCCACTCAGAAATGATTTCGGAGTGGCCTCCACAATCCTGAAGACCCACTTGCCTGCCCAAAGGACCTGAAATACCAGGTCGACCTTTTGGAACCTTGACAAAAAATGCATCAACCCTTAGGCCACCAAAAAATCAGGAGAAAAACGGGTCAGAACCAAACAACCCGAATTTTTTTTAAATTTATTTTTTCCGGCTTTTTGCTGCTGTTTCGCAGTTCATGGAAGGGGAGAACCAACAAGGTGGATTCAGGTCGATTCGCCTTGGACAGGTGGGAGGAGGGTTGCAACACTCCGAGACATGTCGATCTGTCGATCCATCCTGCCAGTCGAAGGAGGTGGTGTTGGCGGCTCGTACCAAGAACTCCTCCCCCATGGCAAGGGCTTCCCAGACGTAGCGATCCCCCATGGCGGAAGCGTCGCCCGTTGGCCGAAGGTGCAGAGGCTCGGAGGCGCGGAGGCTTGGAGGTGTGATTTTTTGTTTGCTGATCTGAAGGCTGGCCATTTGCTGCTTGGGAGACGGTAGCTGGTAGCTCAAAGGAGTTCAAACTACTTGCTCTCAGCTGGTGGGGACCATCTGCCGTGGGTCGCGCGGGTACGCGCGGGGCTACCGCGCCGCTTGGCTACCGCGCCGCTTGGCTACCACGCCGGAACGGACCCAAGAAAGCAATCGGGCGGCAAAAAGTGGAGATTCCCATGTGCGAAAGCAATACCAAACTCCAAGGTTTCTCATTTGAGACTTCAGGGATTCAAAAACACCCCTTTGACTGCACTGTTGAAACTGGCGAGTTTGCTCTTGGCAAACAACTACAAGGGGACCCCTTTTGATATCCGAAGTCATTTCAGGATTGCGTTTGAACCGCCCATTTTGCGGAGGGGTTGCCACTTTCGAGGCAGTCATCGCAGTCACGTTCTCCAGGGAGCTTGCCGGATTCAGCTGTCATGCCCTGAATCGACTACACATGCACCTGTGTCACAAGCGCCACGTGTGAAAACCGGATCTCACACGTGGGTTGCCTGGTAAACTTATGGGAACCCATGGCTTGCTGGTTCCATAGGCAGGGAATGAGAAATGGAATGACCCCGAGAAATATAGCCATCCCCGATTTGGTTTAGGGAATCTCCTCCCGGTTCCTTCCCACCCGGAAGGTCATTGGCAGCAAGACCAATATGGAGCCCACCCAGCGTCCCGTTTTTTCCCCCTTTTCTGGTCTTGGAGGTTCCAGATGGGAGGGTAACCCCTGAGATTTTTTGGGGGATCCCCACACGATCCGGAGTCTCGGATTCACACAGGACTTAGCACCCGTGGACTGGTTCCCAGCGTGCGTCTAACCGTTTTCGGGCCCCGCTTCGGGGAGGGAACGTAGTCGGGCGTTCTTTTTTGGGGAAGCCTTTCCTTTAAAGTGTTTCCAAAAGGAAAACAAAGGAACGACAACATTTTGGGGATCCCCCCCGCATCCCGTTCTTACAAAGGGGCTCCAAATGGATGCCACCCATGTGTGGGAGTTCCAACACATTAGAGACAAACCCATTTCGCGAAATCCCAGTGCAACATGATCAGAGAGAGGCCAAACCACGAGAAATGTTTCTCCGTGAGTGTTTGCTTCTGTGCTCAGCTACAACCAATCCTCACACAACCCGCCGGAAAGCTACAACTGAACTAAGGCGAGTGCATCGAGAAAACCACCAGGATGGAATTACTTCAGTGTCGCAAGCTTGATTTGGGCTCTCAAAATGAGGATTTGGACCCCCACAAACGCTGTTTTTCCCGTTTGGTTTCTCTTGAAACCAAAGAGGCTTCCTTCCGATCAAGTGGATTGACGAGAAAAGTAACCAAACTTTTTGTTTAGCACTAAAATGGTCCAACCCCAACAAGCGGCGCCAAAGTCCAGAAAAAAAAGGAGTGATTCATATTTTCTGCAGGGCTCAACCCATACAGCTTGTTTGGGACCGGGCTCCGGCTGACTGGGGAGTCAGTCCAACTCAAGCTGAGGAACCTCCAGGCCTCTGCCCAGTGGTCATGGGAAACAGCGGGTGCACCCTCTTTTTGTTGGTTGAGTTTAAAGGGTGCGCCTTACCCATCAAAAGGAAAAAAGGGCGGACTCCACTGAGGAACCACCGAAGCGAAGCCGGGCTTCGCCCGGCCCAAGGCTTCGGTTGAGACGCGGGCCATGAAGTTGCAGCCTGCTGGCTCGAAGTGGTGCCTGCCATTGGACCGATTTGGCCTCCGGTCGTTTAAACGACTCTCCATCGTGAAACTTCGATTGGGAGTTTCTCCGAAAAAAAAGGGGGTGATTTCTCCTTTTGGTGGGTATTGAAAAGTGAAAAACCAAAGGGACCAAAGGGACACCTACCATTTCATGGGACCCCTACGGTTGGAGGGAGGGTCACCACCACTTGCTTGAGGCCGCCAAAAAAGAAAGAAAGACGCAGCTGTTCATAGCTGGAGTCTCTGTGATCCCTGAAAGAAGAGTCTGATACTCGGAATTTTGGGGCAACTTGATCTTGACCAGACCTGGACCTCCTTGCAAGTGGCTCCTTCCCTCTCACAGTTGGCCCCGATTTGGGAGCTTTCAAGTCGCAACGTTTTCGGTTCTCCTGGTGTTACTACCTTTGGGGATTTAAAGTGGGGTCTTTCTGAGTTTCTGCTGGGATGGTCTTGGTTCAAAGAGCCGAACATGCTTCAGGGCCCTTCCTCCCAGTTTTGGACGCACCCACATTTTCGGCGCATGGAATCGAAGCTTCGGCGCCCCAGCGCACCAGTACCGGACGCTGGGAAAGCGATGGTGCGCCCAACCTCGGGAAGCGATTGGCAAGACACCCCCGGCCCAACCAGCGGATGCGTATATATTTTGAGAAAACGCGGTAATTTACAGTGTTTTTTTGCATACCACATTCTAGGTGTGGATCATGGGGGGGGGGGGTGACAACATATATATATATATATATGCATTATTATTATTATTATTAATATTATTATTATTATTATTAATATTATTATTATTATTAATATTATTATTATTATTACAATATTATTATTATTATTATTATTATTATTATTATTATTATTATTATTATTATTATTATTATTATTATTATTATTATTATTATTATTATTATTATTATATACGTATATTATACTCCCGAACGGCTGGAGGTTAAAGAGCCAATCGCAGTCAAGCAAGCTCTTGCGAAACCACTAGTTGGGCATTGGCAACTTTCAAACGATGCGCTTCGGCAGACATGGCTCAGCCGCTCGGCCTGCTCAAAACATATGATCTAAGGAGTTGACCGTGCGCTTCTATTTTGGCAGTGTGCTTTCTGCTTCTCGGGGATTGGGGTGTTGGGACTAGAGGGATGTTGAGGGCCACCAATGATTCTTCATGGGAACCCCGAAAAGCAGGAAGTGCTTGAAATTGAGAGCTGTTTCAAACCACTGAAGTGACTACCCTGCCTACGGGTTTTGTTGGTACCCTCTAAAAAGACACTCGTCCCTTTTTAGAAATCGGACCCCCAAAATGGCGCAGCGGTTTTCCTTTTGATTTCCTTTTACAACTTAACAACAAGGGGGTACCAACTCCAAGAAAGACACACTCACTTAAGCTGTAAAGTCTGAGTTCTTTAGCACCCTGCGACCAAGCGTGTCATGGTCAAATCCCCCCGTTGCTTGAGGCAGCTTCTTCTTTCTCTTTCTCTGTTTGGGGTTGGTCGCCCGAAAAGAGACACACCCGTACGGGGTTTCAAACAAGCAACGTAGAGGTTCCTATTCAGCCAGCCATCACACACCATGAGCAGAGTTTTGACCGGCCAAGACAAACAACCACCACCTTTCGGCCGCTCTGAACATACGCATTTGTGTCTACGCGCAAGACCCACGGGATTAAACAAACTCGAACACCACCACCATCACAGTGAGGGTGCTTGGGGCTCCGTGTGAATCTGCAGGTTCCATTCTCATCTGCAATCAGGTCACCGTGACAGTGGTGATAGCAAACCCAAAAGTGATGATAATCATCATCCCTTTGCGGGGTCAAAATGGTTGCTCTTCACTCGGTTGCTCGTCATTGGCTGCCGACTTAGGAATGGGCAAATCAACGCAAACCCGTATTTTTTGTATCAAATATCAGCAAATCGACAAACCCCTTCTTCCAACCGGTCAGGGCATCATGTCACCCAAAGGCATGCGCGTGCAATTGAACAGTTGAGGGGGCTGAAATGGAAACCCGAGATGCCAAGCATCAGCGTTCCAACTATTCACAGATGTGTCCGTGGCTCTGGTACATCGAAGTGGGCCGAAGCACACTTGTCGGCTAAGTTAGTGGTTGGTGTCCTAGGTTAAACCCATTTACAGCGAACTGTACTTGGTGTCCTAGGTTATAACATGCTTTTTGCGTGGGATTTTACTCAGAAAAACCACACTTGGTGGGTTGATGTGGGTTGCCTTAGAGTTACCCCCAGGGATTTGGACGGTCTGCCCGTCTGACCCTCCTCAAAAAGGAGGCTATCTTTTTTGCGTCAGTGCCAGGTCAGCAGTTTGAAGTACACTAGTCGTTTAGTTGGTTCCGACTTACCACAAATAGCTTTGCAAAGGAGCAGCAGATCTAAGGTACCTCAGCCTTTGCTGCCCCCCAAACCCAAGATCATACTTCTTTTTTTTGCTTTTTCTGGTCCATATTTA